ATCAATATGAATACTGATTAAATATGTGTAGACAATAGGCCAGCATCCCGGCAGCACATGCCCAGACGGGGGTCAGTTGATTCGAAGGGACCGAACACAGAGTTCCAGGCCGATGTGGACACGCTGGCCAGCTCTCATTCTGCTCTCTCACACATTTGAAGGAGCTTGTAGCTGGACAGTGCAAAACGTCAGAAAGTCAGTAATGAATATATAATTTTCTGTAATCATAGTCCTTATTCACTGCTCAGGCAAACCGTTTACGGCACTAATCTCCAGCCAAGTCTTTATATTCAGGACTTAATGCCAATGAGTATTAAGTAAGAATCGGTGAATCCCCAAGCGCAGCTCACAGAAATAAATAATTGTTCCTTCAACTTTAATCTGACATCGTCTTCACAAGAGGCTAATTTCTTTAAAGGGAGAGCTTCATGAAATCGAGATCTTGATGTAAGTGCCTTCAGTGGGGAACCATACTTCACAGATATATTTTGAGTGTTTACTATAAATCTAATCGGTTACAAGTGATGCTTTTATTTAAAAGTTGCTTACAATTTCATCCGTTTATACAGCTGGAGAGTTTTAGTGAAGCAGCCAAGGTGGAGTAAATTTCTCCGGGGGGTGTCACCGAGAGCCCTGGGGGGTGAAGAAGCTTCAGGTTACGACTCCGTTCCACGTTGCCGTTGAGGAAATTAGCTTTGCTCCGCAGCCCTGTGTCAGTAAACAGCAGCATGTGCTTGGGTGGTTAGTGTGAAATGACAAAAATAAAAATCCCTCTCTTTATCTTCGTCTCTTACTCACACAGACACACACAGGTTCTCCTTCAAAGAAGTTTTTTTTTTATTACTTCCTTCCCTTTNCCCCCCATTCCCGGTGCCCTGAGTCCACAGTAAATGAGCATGCCCTATTATCCCCTCAACACTCAAACCGGGCTTTGTTTTGTTCAGATAGTCTTCCCCTCGTCCCCTTTGCTCGTTAATATTCAAAGAAAGATCCGAGGCTTTTTACGAAGCAGTAGGGCTTGCTATGCCCCCCCCCCACTTCTTGCCACCACCCCACCTAAAAAACAAGTAAACATTTAAGAAGGACTGCGGGGGAAGAACATTCAACTTCCCAGAGGACCTGTCACTTTAACTCCCCCCCGAATGCACATTGAAGGACGCAGGAGCTAAACGGTTAGCCTGACTGAGAAGCCCCAAGGTCCGTCCACCATCAGACTCACATGCTCCTTTGGCCCAACACTGATTTGTGCGTCTTTCCCCAGCGAGGGGAGGACAGCATGTATCTCTACGGCCGCGTTTCCGAAACAGAGTGCTTCCATTTGTAAAAAACATCCTGTTTTTCTTTACTTTATACAAAACAGAACAGTCAGTTTACCTATTTGCAAGTGAGATGCATTTAAAATATCACAACTGCCATATGTTTAAAATGTTTTCAATATAAGAAAATAATATATTTATTTTACTCTGTGCTGTATATTACAGCTGTAAAATTGAATAATGTGAGTTTTATGGTTATTTCTCTTTTTTTATTCAGTAGTATTCCGGCACTTTTCATACATTATGGTTTAATGTAATTGCCACTTCTCTTCACAGTGAATTACGTACTTGTTTAAGATACTGTAAAGGGTATCATTCCTTACAAGGCACTCCACTTTGGAAGCTATTGTTTTGAAATCTATTCAGATTCAGTATTTACAACCTTTTCAGAAAAGTATCCCTTATAAACACATGATTAAGTGTATCTTTCAGCTTAGAAATGGGACAGACTGTCGTATTTCTTTGTCACTATTTAAATGTTATGACTCTGCTGAATGTATGCTAAACATTAATATATTTTAAAATTGACTGGCTGTATGTATATATGTAAATATTCACATATATATCTGTTCCCTTCATTTTCATTCACAGACCTGATGTCTAAGTGGCGCACACAAGCTATCTTCAGCGTCACACATGCTTACATCGGTAAACATTGAACACTGAAACAGCACAACTGTAATCACACGTCATTTTAAAAATCAGCAGATGAATGGCTGTGATTCTTCGATCATAGCCAGTGACAATGCATAATGAGCCCTGCACACTGCGCTTTTAGCCGAAACGGCTCGCCGGCTGATCACTGCCTGTCATTATGTCACTTTAGCGGAAATGATGTTTCGAGTCCCGTGTCAAGCATTCAGACCCTCCAAGCTGTAAAAATGCCTCTCTGTTTTTTCCAATTACACACCCATTTGTGTGAGGAAGCAACGATCACTGTGTTTTTCAGCTTTTTTATCTAAAATGACCCCGTCTCTAGCAAAGACCCGAAACCCCTGGTGTGTAAATAATACACTGCTATTGTTGCAGGTACGAGTGCTCGCAAGGCACAGCTTAAAACAAGAAGCTGCACTTACATCTTAATTACTACTGTAATCCTGGTGATAAGGGGTAGTGCTCTGACATCACTGTGATGGTGGACTCTCATTTAGGGTATAAGAATAGTTCCCATAAGCATCGCTGGTAGGAAGCACACCTTCAGTGCATTCTGCAGGTGCCAGAGACCCAAAGAGGGTACAGATGACCTGCTTCTGGACATGAATGCCGGACGGTGACTCAGGGCAAACTGTGTTCTGGAACATGCCGTTCCCAGGGAAGGCTGCGTCCCAACATTAAAAAAAATAAAACGACAAGACAAGAATCGCTCCTGTGAGAAATATGTCGAAAATAAATGTCACGTCAAGAAGATCCCCATGATTCAAACGGCAAGTGATTGAAATATAGCCTCACATTAAAGGCTTATTGATCCCCCTGGTGCTTCAGTAATTATTGATACGTCCATAAAGAGATGGAAACTCAAACCAATATGTTGAGAGAGACCACAGCACAGCGTGAGGAGTGAAAACGGGCAATACCTTGGTAAGAAAGTGTGTTTATTGCATCTTCTGGAAGCGGATGATCTCAACAGCTATTAAACGCGTCTTGAAGGAGAAGGAAGGACAAGGTTTAGCAGTGGAGGCCTCAGCACCCTTGGAATGATGACGCAACAGGTCAGAGAAGCAGAGGGTAGGCAGACATCGCCTTCCCAAGTCCATGTTGGCACCAGACGCTGTGGGCATTTTCTTAGAGGATGCCTTGGCATCAGAAACACCCGACTGGCAGTATAATAGTGGAACTAAGACCTAATTGGGCTATCTTCAGTGAATCTTGAGGGGCTATTCTGAGCCACGCGCGGCTTCTCTTTTATATGATGGATTGAGATGCTGATGAGACTGGATGCTTGGTCCATCCACTTGTCTGTGATGGTGGGGATTGTAGAAGCGAATCAGCGTTTTTTATGCCGCCGATGAATGTAAAAACCAAGCAGTGTTTAGCAACTGAGCGCTTTTCTGAACCGAGGCTACCACAGCCAACAAGGACATCAGTGTAAACAGGCTCTTCTCAGACGCCTCAAAACAACTCTCTGATACAAAAATAAAATGTTGTTAAACCAGACTAGTGGAAAATAAATCGCTTTAGAAAATTCCCGTCTGTACACATGGATAAAAGTTACTCTGGAAAACAGTGTTTGCTATGCAGCTAATTAGTGAACATAGAAGAAACTCATATAGCGTGACTGCTTAATTGTAAATTAAGTAGCAATTTGAACATAACGTAACACAGGATACCCACATACAGCTACTATACATAAGCCAAAGTTTTATACAACGTAGATACTTATTTTCAAAGGTTTTGTGGTAGAATCTTACGTAAGAGTCGCATCATTACCCCTCCAGATAGGCTACTGTATAACCTGCTCTGGAAGCAGAGTGGAAGCTCATTTCATTCCTGGTAAAGATAAAATCAACTTGCAATCCTCAACCTTTCTGGCAGGCTGGCCTTTACTTGTCCTTATCTGCCAAGGGGGCGGGGGAAGTGCAGGACTGTCCCAGAGGTGACAGGAAAGCTGTGTGGGGACTCTCAGAAGCACCCCCCCCCCACCCCGACCCCCGAGCTCACTGGCCTGTATCACATCTCTTATTGATCTATCTGCTATCCACTTTGCCAGCTGTTTACTTTTACAAACGGCCTGACAGGAAGAATGCAGGCTGCGGTATTTCTGTGCCATAATAACGTAAGAAACTGAAGCAGGGACACAGTAACAGTGAAAGTCGCCACCGAATCCCCTGGGGACACATGACCGGGGGCCGCTGCGCCGCTTGTTGACAGAGAACCCTCTAACACCTGCTGAATAGGGGGCAAGCATTCAAGTCTCTATGCGGCTTCAGAACCCATGTAGAGTAAGCCTAGGACCCAACCCAAGAGGCACTCGGTCTATCACCGAGCACACACAGCCGCACACTAAGGGCCATATAAAGGAAGGGCACTAACTACACACACAGCAGGGGTGGGAAGTGAACCCATAACCTTAGACATGTGAGGCTACAGCATTACCTCTTGAGCAGCAATCCCACCCACATTTAATTCCCCCCCACTCCACTTTTTGTAGAACAGAGTGCTTAAACACACACTCTTTTAACCTGAAGGTTGCTAGTTCAGGTCCACCAGGGGTATTTTGCACTTTTGGTAAATTGCTTATGCAAAAATATTCCACTGTGTGAATTGCAAAAACTGTTAAAGGGGTTTGGGGAAACCCTGGGCAAGTAGCACAGTGGTAGTAATGATAGCAAATGTAGGCCTGACAGGGTAATTCTTCGTACATGTGCTGCCTGTGACCCGCTCCATGCAGCACCTGCTAAATTCCTCTAACCTCTGCCTGTTCGACTCATTTAGAAGGTCCGATTTACCCAGGAGATTAAAGAGAAAAGTCTGCTTTGCTTTTGATACAATTAGGCCTTGTTTATTGTACGAGTCTGAGAGCAACTTTAAGCACAGGCAAGCATGATAACGGCATTTACTTTATCATCAGATGGTTTCCCCCTGAGCACATGGTCTCAGAACACATCTGACCTAAGAAGGTGTCGGACAGCATCCACTCACGGGCAGCATTTTCACACCCAATCAAATTTTAGTTTGTTCTTTTATTCATTTACACCGTATACATGCATGTCCACAAACAGATGAAAAATATGGTTATTACACCCAGAGTACTGGAAGTACTGAGTATTTTATAATTACTACGTTCAGGTGTTACTAGGTCATTTTTGGCAAAAAATTAAAACATTAAATTTACATTAAAATTAAAACAAAAAATGCTAGCATAACCAACCATGAAATTCAAGTCTCCATACATTGTACAGTACGTAAATTTCAACATTTCACTAATATTATATGTTTTAGCTGTTGTCATCAGCGTAGACTTGACTGCAGATGCAGTATAGATGAACGACTTAAAGGTATAAAGCAGTGTATCAGTTTTGCAAGTGAGCTAAAAACATATATAGTATGTATAATAATCCACTGCTAATAGGAACCTCAAAGTTTATGCGACACTTTTCGGTATGTGAGCAGAGAACAAGTGTACTGTATGATAAAGTAAGGAAAAGTACCAGAGATAGAAGAAGTTGTATAGCCATGAGCCAAGGGAGTGTGGGTAAGTGGGGAAGAGCAGGAGGCCATCCGCGGAGCCCCGATGCTCTCCCTTCAGGTGAGGATAAGGAGATGACACTTGACCATCTCCAGGAGACTCTGCAGGATTAAGGGTTGACAAAACAGCCAAGTCTACGACAATTGTTCCTTTCATCTTAAGCCCTAAGAAAAGAACTGAGTACTATATAGACTTTGAAATCATGGGAATGTAACTTTCAAATAAGAAGCTAAATCTGCTTAGCTAAAATAAAAAAAAAAGTTTCTTGTTGCATTATTAAAGACAAACCTGATTGAAATAAATTCCTCTGGAGCAGCAGTAGAAATCCAACATTGGCAGTCACGATTTTTTATAGCAAGGACTATTCAATGCAGGATTCTTGTCAGCAATAATGCAATAAATTCCTCCATCCTCTATAGTTTCATCTTTACACCTTGACTGAGAAAGTTGTGGCTGCCAGTACTTTGGAATTTCCTGTAATTTAATCACTAGATTCAATCAAAATCTAGAAAATGTAACTTGCTAAACCCCAACAAATTGTCAAATTGGAGACATTCTAATAATATACATTTTTAATCCCCGATAAATAAAATAAATAAAACTGCAACAATTTCAGAGATTTAAGAAAAGCCCAAAAATACAAAATGATATGAGATCTAACGTAGTTTAAGGACTAATCAGAGTAGAGGTTAGATTGACATTACATGGCAAATAGTCTTTATTTTCAATACATGGTGCCTTTGAACCACTTTTTGTTCTGATGACTGGATCTTTGTAAACATCTTTTGGCCAAAGTCCCCCTCAGAGAGCTGCGTAGAAGCAAATGGGAGTCCTCAATTTTGCAAATTTTGCTAGAAGAAGCAAAAAAAGTGATGATCAGTGAAATGACTGTATTGATTGTGATACATGACCTACAATATCTCTTAAGCATATAGAGTCGATACTCTCACAACCAGGACGAAGATGGAAAATTCAAGAATCTACTGCTTTAACACCAAAGTAAGAAGGATCATTACCCTCAAAGTTAAATAACAGTAAACCAAAAAGTCACAGGAGGTTAATTTTACCCATGTGGACTGGACCCATCCGTTTGGCTGAGCATAAATATCTCAGACAGAAATGATGATTTGAAAATATGGCAACCAGGAATATAAATCAGTTCTCCTGGACAAATTAATATAGTTCTCTTTTTCGATAGTATGAGCGTATCATAAATTGTGCCCAGGGTATGTAAATCATGGGTCATTTTTTATGACAATGCCACCTTGAAATCACACAGACATAGGTGGTGCGCATGTTACCCCTTTCCTGGAAAATGAAGAGCTTCCTCGCGACGGCTGGACACAAAGCGATCGCGTTTGCGGTAGGAGAAACATCTACTGCTCCTCACATATCTCCTGGTGTGCAAATGGGCTAAAGTAATACAGGATATGGTGGTGGTGGTGGTGGGGGGGGGGGGGGGGTTGACAGCATGACGGAGTGAGCGAGCGAGGGAAGGGAGCAGGAGGAGAAGGGGGGTGGGAGGGAGAGGATACTGAGGTAGCAAGCAATTCCTCTTTGTTATCAAGCGAAATGACTCTGCAAATATGACAATAAATCACAGAGAAAATCAATCTGAGGGGAGGCAACTGCTAGCCACTGATAATGCATCAATCAATATTTAATGTTTAGCCTTTAATTAATCCACAAGCTGGAAGCATTCTTTCAGTGACAAAAAGGAGAGCGAGGAAAGGCTTAAGCAGAGAATAGTGTTTATATCTAAAAGGGCCCCATTTCTTTATAGCTGTACACTGATGGAAGCATCACCAATCGTTTTGGATTCTTCCCTATTTATTTTAAAGCAAAGCCCGACATTTGGGCCCTGGATAAAATAAGGATTTGGCGAGATGACAATATATCAAATGTGAAAGTCGACGACTGGAGAATCAGACGCAAGGTAAGGCCGAAAGACTTTGGTTCGTGGCCCAAATGTGACCCCTGGCCCTCGTTTGAAAGTCGTGGGGAGTCTCCTCTCACATGAGGGTCCTTGACCCCAACACCCCCCCCTCAGTTTAACAGGTGTTTCGTGTCTGTGGCGGGTCGCGCACTCCCTGACAGCTGGGAGGGTCATCCATGACGCTCTCGTGACTCCCACGACAGGCGAGGAAAGTGCGCTTGATCACACCCACGTGGGCGGTCTCAGCTTCAGGCTCCGTTTCTCAGGAGCTGTCCCGTGCTTCGTTCCCCTGCGACTCAAGCTCTGACGGAACCCCGGAAGCGCCACCCCCGCGACATCACGCCGGAAAGCTGCGAAGACCTTCAGCGTGGCAGGCTGGCAGCAAAGCCGTTTGTAACCTGAAAGCGTCTGCTTAGGTGGTTTTGGGAAATGAAGCGCTAATTATTTCACAGCAAAGACACGCCCCCCCCCCCCACCCACCAGAGCAGCTGGCAGCATAATGCTAATACAACTATATTTGTGACCAAAAGTTCACTGGTACAACTCCCAAGAGTGGCCTTAATGGTGTGTTATTTACTCAAATTACTACGGTAAAGAAACCCAGCCATATAATTGCATTTAGAGTGAGACCTGCAAACTCCGTCGCTTCATTTGAATACGTATGTCTTCTGAGCATCGCAGAGATAGAAATAGCCTACTCCAGCCCCAGACTGGTGCAAAGGCCCCCCAAGTTTATGAAATCATCAGACGGCAGCCCCCGAACGAATCTGAGACATTCTGGGGAAAAAGCCATTTGAACTGGGAGGCGTATTTACCGTGAGCTCCTGGATTACTGGGATGCATCCCAGTGGTGCTAATTACTATGTTCTCCAGGGGAAGCAACTGTGGGGTATCAGATGAGGGGGTGCTTGACACTTGGCTACCTGGAGTAAGATTGTGCTCAGATAATTGCTACACTATTACATGCTGAGTGGGAGACCCACAAGGTTTATTTAAAGACCTAATGAACAAGAGTCTGCAAAAATAAGGGTATCTACTTACTCCTCGCAAATTCCCATTCGTGGCTCACCGATATGACGCTGATCCAAGAACTAATCGATCTTATCGAACAGATATCAAAAGTTTAAGCTTTATCAATGGCAGGAGTCTGATACAACCTGCTACCATTATTTGACATTGTTGACAACACTATATTTTTATTATTGCTTGATATTTATTCTGAAATTTGTCTCCGGTGGAATGAAGTGGGTGACTGCAACATTTCCAGACACTGAGCCTGGAACTTTCTCTGGGAAGCACAGGGGATGAGGCAGGGGATGCCCTCAACAGGGAGGATGAGGCCGGGACACACTGAACAGGTAGGATAAAGCAGGGGGCACCCTCAACAGGCAGGATGAGGCAGGGGATGCCCTCAAGAGGCAGTATGAGGCAGGTGACGCCCTCAACAGGCAGGATGAGGCAGGGGATGCCCTCAAGAGGCAGTATGAGGCAGGTGACGCCCTCAAGAGGTAGGATGAGGCAGGGGTTTGCCCTCAAGAGGCAGTATGAGGCAGGTGATGCCCTCAAGAGGTAGGATGAGGCAGGCAATGCCCTCAACAGGCAGATTGAGGCAGGTGACACCCTCAAGAGGTAGGATGAAGCAGGAGACGCCCCCAACAGGAAGGATGAGGCTGTTCTCAGATCTGGGATTTGAACCCTCCATATGCTGGAGGTGTGAAGCTGTCGGAAATGAAGGCAGAAGAACAGAGTTAAGAATCAATCAATCAATCAATCAATCAATCTATCATCTATCTATCTATCTATCTATCTATCTGTAGTTCATGATTTGTAAGCACAATTGAAGGTGAAAAGAGATGCATAGGAATGTTTTGGACTTGAAATACAACTTTACTATTCTAAATAATTTTAACACAAAAGTAAAACTGGATCAAAGAAAAGCAGAGACGTCCATATATCTTACATAACCACTTGTCCATCTTAAACAAAGTCAGAGTCCATCCCAGGTTAGGGCAGGGGACACCCTGGATGGAATGCCAGTCCATTGCAGAAACTAGATTTGATATTTACAAACGAGCAGCTGTTTCATTGTGGAGTACAGGACTTCTTGGATGTGTATTTTACTTTTTGATATTAATCAAACACAACCAGCTGCCTGTCAGTCAGCATTTCCAAATTAGCGTCTTCTGTCTGTCAAGTCAAATACGAAATGGGACAGACCCATTAGCAAGACCAGACAAAGGAGGACAGCATATTAAAGGCATTCAGTCTGACGGGTCTTTTATCTTAAGCAAACTAGGAACAGCTCATAGAAGCTCTATATTCTCCTGTAGGAGATAATCTTGGCTTCCAAGGGCCCCTCATTTGCATTCAGAGAAAAAGGTTTCGATTTTTAAACATGAGACAATAACTCTGATCCCCAGAAGTTCCTAGTGTCCTTTTTAAACTCCTCATTTGGTATGAAACTGGAACAGAGGGAAGCAGGACCGAGACCAGAAAACTGTTTCACAAAATCAGCACAAGAAATCATTTTGAAACAGTTTATCATGTTGAAACGCAGAATGAATAACTGCTGAGAGGGAGCTCAGGAAGAGTGAGATTTTGCAAAATGTGTTTATGAAACTCATGACGGTTTGTCACGTGGGACATTTCCTTTAGACTGGATCTCGTGTTGCGTGTAACATCCCCCACAAGTGATGTAACGAGGGTGAGAGAGGTCAGGTCCTGACAGGTCAAGCTGTTTAGGCTCATAAAAATTTGCTATTGCAAAATAGGAAGTAAAATCTTGGGTCATAAATGAACCTTTTGAAACACATGAAATATTTGCATACTGTAAAATTCAGTCTTTGGTAAAGAGTAAGGACTGCAGGCGATGAGGTTATTCTTTGAATCGAAAATTAATGAGCATTAATGAGTGTTTCAGGTTGAAGTTCTCTCTGGTATTAAGCAAATCAGGAAAATCTGCTAGGGAAATGTACAGCTGGCATGGCACATTCGGTGTTTATGTACAGCCAGCGGCACGGCTGCTCCTGGGCAGCGAAATGGCTTTGCTGTTATACCTTTGAATGAAGCACTTAACTCAAATTCCCTTGAGAATGTCGCTCTTTAAAAACTTGGTCGGAAGCAGCATTCACAGCCAAGGACGCATTCAGGCACACGGATGGGGAAGCAATGCAAGGGCTGAGATGGATGGCCTACTGGCCTCTGTGCTGCAGGACCCCGGACTGAGAGTGCTAAGGGTGGCCAGTGGGCTGCCTGTTTCATTGTGACACGATGGCAGGGTTGATTATAGGGCTGATTTAATTCATGTTGTGGGGCAGTGGGAGAGTCTGTTGATAGGTTAGTGGAAAGGTGGTTGGTTGTGATTGGTGGGAAGGGGTACCGATCCATTCTAATGCCGCATTCCATTTACCTCGGAAAGCAGTACCAGGAATCTGTTTCAAAAAGCAGGATGTGTTGCTTAGTCAGACAACTTGTAGGATTTAAAGTGCCCCAGTTTAAACTGCCTTTATCTTCACTCACTTACATTTAGCACAGACTACCTTGGATCTGATAAGTTATCCAGCTAAGTAAAAAAATCCTGCTTTCTGAAACAGGCCCCAGTTCTATCCAGGTTCATCGGTATCCATCATTAGAAAGATCAGTTGATAACAACACATTATGGGGTATTTTGCAGATACAAACACCGTAGTGACATGACCGCACATAGAGGTTGGACAGTAAACACTACATATCTCCAGCTTTCCCTTCTGTCGATGAAGGGTGCAGCCATCTTGAACTCTGAGGTTGGGGTTGCAGAGGTTCCTCCGACTATTCGATTCGGAATTCTGAACTCAGGGGGATTTCAAGTTGAAATTTCCAACCAGAAATTCTGACTTCCCAGTTCAAACAGAACACAGCACAAGGCCCATTCTATAA